GGTGAAGACTAGAGATTATGGGGGTGTGTTAGGTTGGCGAAACTGCGAAAACAGGATGTTGATATCACAGTTGATCCTCCGTCAGACGTGCATGCTTCAGCGGAAACCAGCAATTTCCTGTCTTTACCTGCGCCTCGTCATCTGGCTTTTTCTTTGACCCTTCCCCGACCCCGCCTTTCCGGTTCTGACGCCATATATAACCTCATCCACAGGTCAGACCCCGACACTTCTTTGTCTCAGCAACGTTCACCTCAAGATACGACCTCATTTCTTCTTCCACAGGTGGGCGACACAAGACGTCTTCCTGAGACATCTTCAAGTTGTAGCTGCTTCTTCCTTCCTTCGATTTGCTTGCTCAGGTATGTTGATTGTTATTTTGCTCACCTTTCTATTGTGCTTCGCACACCTGTAACCAAGTGTGAAACCTGGTCGGAAATTTGCAAGAGTTTGGATAATACTTCTAGCAGGATATTGCTTGTTTACTCTAAATTTTATGCTGTGATAGTTTCATCTTTTATTACTTTATACGTTATAAATTAAACACCTAAAAGTGTTATAAGTATGAAATTGAATTGAATCGCTCATGGGTGGACGTGTTTTAGGACACAAACTACATCTACTGTTTCAAAACTTGTTTTAACATTTGTGGGTTATAGTTGGTGCAACATATGTTGAAAGGACTCTGGTGTGTATACGTGTTGTGCGGTAAACATTTCAACTATGTGACTCTACCTTTTGGCATGCCTCAGAGGTGTAACATCGAACAATGGAGGCATGGAACTCGAATCGATTACAAATGAACAATTTTCACGAAGGAAAGACTTTTATTGTACATTTTTGCTCAATTGCAAACTAAGTACAGGTCATGGTAAATAGCGATGGTAGCCTTAAATATGTCCATAGTAAAACTTAATATGTACAGTTTCTGATTCTTCTCGCTTCTTAAGACAGTTGTAAATGTAAGAACAGATGGAACTTATAGTACAAGAATTATCGAGTTTCATGAGGAATGCGAATTTTTATTTTCTATCTAAAATTCTAAAACTAGGGAAATAATCTTGTATACAATTGAAGAGAATCTTTCTCTCACTATCATATAGAGTACAGTCCACAATAAAATGACTCTCGTCTTCAATATCATTTAGGTTACAGTAATGACAAATTCTCTGTTGTAGAGGAATGTGGTTGTGTCTACCCTTTTCAACAAGATGTTTCCTCGCCTCAAATGATCTCCAAAACGGTCTAGTAGTCTGCCTGGAATTCGAAGATGTCGCTGTGACATAAATTCAGGCGCAACGTCTCTTTTGATATACAATAGAGGTAATAAATTAATCCGACAAGTTTTCTCACACTGTGACTAAATCGGTTCTATAAATCAGTGCTAACTAATTGGGAACCACTAGAATCACTACACGAAAAAATCCACCTTAAACAATGCGTAAAGCTCTCATCGTAAATGCACCTTTACGATTTGCTTAAAGATAGGATTTTGTGCAGTGAATGTGCATTCAGTCAAATCTACTAGTATCTGTGAACACTCAAGGGACTAGACAAAAATGGCCACAGTAGACAGGTAGTCATTATAGACAGCATTTTTAATGCTTGGGTCGCATCTTTAATGCTTTGGTCAATGGGAAACTAATCTGATGACCACCAAAAATTGGCCACAATGACCAGATGATCCTTATGTAGAGGTAGCCACTAGTACAGGTTTCAGATCTGTATGACCAAAACATAAGCCTGTTAAAAAGATGTTACGGTTTAACGTAGTGAAGAGTAGAAGATGTCCCCTGTGTCACCTTGCATGCACAGCTGGCTCCAGACGGAATTCCAGAGCCCATTGTTGCGGCACATTAAGTTCTAGCCCTAAGCGTGTGCGGGCTACGATAACATTGTTCTTGGGACAACAGTCGGTGTCCCGTAGCGTGCTCTCACCTTCACTATCTATGCAGACATGGCGAAATTCCAGTCGTTCCACAAGTGATTGGGTCTAATTTTTTTGTCTGACTGAAAAACCCTGGTCTGAATACATTTAGAAGACTGCTAATAAATCAAGTTTGGAGACACCTGGTTTTTCATCTGTCACGCTGGCAACAGTATCCTTCTTAAACTTATTGTGTTGTGTATGCTTAGTGCTATGTGCAGAAATACACAAAGAATTGTTACTCAAGCAACTGGGCAAATTTTAAAAACTGCCAAACGTTTCAAGTAGAATCCATTACTTTTCGCTAGTGACTGACTAAAAGTAGTGGAAGATACTTGAAACGTCTGAAAGTTTTCAAAATGTATCCAGTTGCTTGAGTAACAGTTTCTTTATTACCTGGATGTCTAACCTTCTTCGACGAATGTACAGAATTGAACGACTTAAACAGTCACATAGTTTTAGAGATAATGTTGTCCCTGTGGTCAAATTAGGGGTCATAAAATGACCTACCCTGGATCCGCAAGGCTAGTTTTCTCACGTACCTGTCCACAGCAGATTCAGATAATCTCCAAGCAGATCCTAGAGTGGCAAAGGACAGTATCAAATTGGCCAGGCAGTATCCATTCGCCAGAGGACCCTCTCTGGCAAATGGATACTGACTGACCAATTTGATACTGTCTTTTGCCACTCTAGGATCTGCTTGGAGATTACGATTCAGACGCACACGACGAAACGTGACATCTTCCACTTAAGATCTTAGCCATTCAACGAAAACGTTTTTTGTACTGTCGGTGAGGGCCTATTCAACTGTTGAGTGCAGCCCCTTCACCGTGGTTTTAGAGATGACACCCCTCCCCCTATGTGTAGGATTTGAGGATATAACCTCTGGCAGGATTCCAAATAGTCAACAACTAGCGACCCGAGGTGTTCCATAATGCAAAATAAAGACTTCTTGTGAAGACAAAACGTTCTGCG